TATCTATCTATCTATCTATCTATCTATCTATCTATCTAAATACAATCCTAATATTATAATTATTCACCTTGTCTTGAAGTTGGGATTGCCCCAATTCCACAGCAGATCCATGATTGGTCAACAATAGGGTTTCTCCTTTTCTACAGAAATAGGGTTTAATGCAGGTTTAAAGCCCAATTTGTTCAAGGCCACGGCATAGAACAAAAAATGCTAACTTTAATAGTTTGGGTGCTTGACCTGACATTTTACCGTCCTATACCCTTTACCTATGCACTAAAAAAATATATGCAAAAAAATCCTTCAAATTGCTGTTTCGTAAATTCAGAATTATAGTGTGCAAATGGTAAAGCCATTGAAAAGTAATTAAACTAACTTTATAGCGACGTTTTCAGAGCCTTTAATTAAAGCTAGTACATTTTTTGTTTGGCCTTTGAAATGAGTCACACCGAGAAAATAAAAAAAGTGTATTTTTAAAGTATACAGGGACTTAACAGAACCCAAGAAGGGGCATCAACCCCTCCCCCTTCCCCCCCGACGAAATAAGGATGAGGGGAGTTTTTCTATCCACATCCTCTACCCCCCCCTCATCCAATAGACGTGTACGGTAGGCTAAATGACGTAGTAAAAATAATTTCATGTTTTATGTATTTGAAGTTTAAATGAGATTTTTCACCCTGAGGCAATAAGTAACACATGATCTGGCTCTAAACCAAGATATTCTTATAAAACATAGATGGGACAATAGTTAGATATTCTGATATAACATAGATGGGACAATAGTTAGATATTCTGATATAACATAGATGGGACAATAGTTAGATATTCTGATATAACATAGATGGGACAATAGTTAGATATTCTGATATAACATAGATGGGACAATAGTTAGATATTCTGATATAACATAGATGGGACAATAGTTAGATATTCTGATATAACATAGATGGGACAATAGTTAGATATTCTGATATAACATAGATGGGACAATAGTTAGATATTCTGATATAACATAGATGGGACAATAGTTAGATATTCTGATATAACATAGATGGGACAATAGTTAGATATTCTGATATAACATAGATGGGACAATAGTTAGATATTCTGATATAACATAGATGGGACAATAGTTAGATATTCTGATATAACATAGATGGGACAATAGTTAGATATTCTGATATAACATAGATGGGACAATAGTTAGATATTCTGATATAACATAGATGGGACAATAGTTAGATATTCTGATATAACATAGATGGGACAATAGTTAGATATTCTGATATAACATAGATGGGACAATAGTTAGATATTCTGATATAACATAGATNCAGTGTGAGACATTCCTGTCAATCTGTTAACTGCAGTGTGAGACATTCCTGTCAATCTGTTAACTACAGTGTGAGACATTCCTGTCAATCTGTTAACTACAGTGTGAGACATTCACTCCACTCTTAGTCTGCAGTGTTCTACAGCATAAAGAGAATCACAGAATTTCATCATGTTGAAATTCTTTCATACCCTGTAACCAGTCAGAGCAATAGGAAACTTGAATATCCAGATTTTTAAAACAATGCCACCCCCCCCCCTCTCTCTGGCCGAGGGAGGGAAGGCAATTTTCCTCGCACAGCTAGCGAACCTCATTTTACCTAATCGTGGCACTGCGCTTTCCTATAGGGCTTTCGATCCTCCCCACAATGGAAGAACATTCCCAAAGACGCACGTTGCCGCAAATAGGTAAAATGAGGTTCGGAAGCTGGGCAGGGGAGGTTACCTTCCCTCCTTCCCTGGCCCTGGCATGGTTGAAAGCCTATAGCAGACAGTTCTCAAGATGCCGAGAAACCTCTCACATGTCTTATGGTTTCTTTGTTCATTTCTAGCATCAGTGCTTAGCCAGGGATTTAGGATTTCCAATCATATTTTACAACTTTCCATTTTTTTTTTAAATTCAACATTGTTAGATGTAATGACGGGCATTGAGGTCCGATCTTAGACCTTTAGGTTTATTGATGTTAAAATTGGTTTGCAAAAACTTGAGTTACTGATAAAATGGCAGAATTGTATTCTCGATAAATTTACTTTAATTACATTATGATATAATAATTTTGTTCTCTGATAAAGAAATTAACCAAAACGATTTTTCAAAACGGAAAACGAGCAACGATTTTTTTATCGCTTTGAAAAAAAAGTGTAAAATTTTTACATAATGTAATAAAAGGAAATTTGTCTACCATGCAGATTCTGAAATTATCTCTTAAAAGTCTAAAAATTGCGAGACATTCCTGTCAATCTGTTAACTACAGTGTGAGACATTCCTGTCAATCTGTTAACTACAGTGTGAGACATTCCTGTCAATCTGTTAACTGTGTTGATTCAAATGCTCTTAATTTTGAAATACTTTTGGTGCAACTAGAGATAGGCGTAATTTTTAATAACCAACAAATTTTTTTGTAATAAATATAATAAAACAATAAAAAATCTATATAATAAAACAAGACATTCGTTTATATATATATATCACCAATAGCTGGCCAAATGGCTAGACCGAATGGGCTGAAATTTTTTGTGGACACATTTTAGGCAAAAAAAATTCTATTTTTTTTTGGTTTTCGACATTATTTTTCTTTTTTCCTATGGGCAACGCTGGGCTCTTCAGCTAATGAACAAATAAAATGGACCATTCAGAGAAATTAAAAAAATAATCGATTTTTGAAAACAAAAGAATAAAAACTAAAACTAAAAATCTAAAATCTAAAATCATTTAAAAAGATTTTGAAAAAAAACTATGGTGTTCTTACTGACCAAAAGATTTTATGGAACAACATTTTTTAAAACAATATTACTATATTAAATGAACCATTTTTTCTAACTTCTTATAAAAAAGATACTTTTTTGTGCTAAACGAACGAATGTACTGAACAAATGATTTTACTGAACAATTGTTTAGTGAGAAAACATACAAAAAAGATGAAAATGAACATTAATTTTGAGCGAACAAAATCAATTTTTTTGAAAGAATGAAAAAAACATTACGAAGTTGGTTGTTCGCAAATGATAAACTAACAAAAGAAAAAAAAGTTGAACGTGCCCATCTTGTAGGAAGCCGAAACCCTATTTGATCAGTTTAAAAAAGAATTATTTTTGTGTTTTATAAGGCTTCTCATAAAAATAGGTTTATCATATATTCAAAAATTAAATGATCTTAAAGTTAGCTTTTGTTACATCTTGCAAAATGTGACTGTGCCTGATTTTATTAAAGTTTTTATTTTTATCCCATCTTTAAGCCCAGTATTTTCTGCCTGAGTCAAAAAAAAATTTGATAAAGATAATAAAAATTTAAAAACAAGTTAGATTACAATTTTACAAAGATATACTTAAGAGCATGACAACTTTTAAAAGCACTTAGTAAACTGTAACACTGAAACTTTTTTTAAAAAAAGTAGCAAAACTTAACATTCCTAAATTCCTTTACCTGAATTCCTTTATGTGTTCCCATTAGAAATATTATTTTGAAAACAAAAGTATTTTCATTTAAATACTTAATTTAAATCATAAGGCCCAGTGTTTCTTTTTGTTTTTATTTTCTAACAATCTTGCATACAATGATAACTTCCTTCAAAGCCTATTATTATAAATTATGTTTGAAAATGGTGGTAGGAATCTGGAGAATGCAGTTCAACTGAAACCTGCTACTCAGTCACTGCACCACAATGTGATGCTATTAAGGCTGATCTTCGAGCAGGAAAACTTACAATTCCACAGTTGAAAAGGTGCTCTGGAGGCCGAACTACAATATGCTGTGAGGATCCTGAAAAACAGAGCAAAGGATGTCCAGCCGGCAATACATGTATTCCTCTTCAACAATGTCCAATACTTCTTCAACAGGCTAGAGCTGGTCAAATAACAATCCCTCAGCTAAGAGAGCTAAGTTGCCCTGGACCCCGGAACAGTTTATGCTGTCCTGGATCGTCATCTACTCTCGTTGAACGCATAGAAACAGGTTCCCAATCTGATGTATCATCCCCTAGCTACCTTCCAAGCATTGAAACACAGGACTGTGGATTCAAAGCAGATTTAAGCAATATTATTGGAGGTGAAAAAACAAAACCAGGAGTGTATTCTTTCCCTGTTCTTCTTGGAAAATTTGATGGAAGGGAGATTTCTTACAAGTGTGGTGCTAGCTTGATTAATAGCTGGTATGTGTTGACAGCAGGGCATTGTTATAACGCTGATCCTTCCAAAACAATGGACAAAGCAAATGTCGGAGACTGGAAAGTAGATACAGATCCTGACTGTGTCGGACAAAGAGGAAGAGCGAAATGTCTTGAAAAAGCGCAGATTATAGACATTGAGAGATGGATTGTACATGAAATGTATGCATTTAATCAGAGAGAGGGAACACTCATTAATGACATTGCCCTCGTCAAACTGAAAACTCAAGTTAAAGGAATTAATGAGTATGTGGAACCCGTTTGTCTACCAACAAGATCAGCTTTGAAGATATTGGATACAACGGATTATGACAACAGTATTGAAGGAAGGGTTAACATATTTCCTAAGAATCATTTAAATAAACATAAGTTAGGTTAAAAAAGCAAAAAGAATGGTAAATTATAAATAATTGTAATGACTTAAATAGAACGCATTTTTCTTTTAAACTTTTGGAAAACAAATAACCTGAATTTAAGGAGTGCGAGCTCATGCAGTTGGTTGGGGGCGAAGTGTACCAAAAGAAGAATACTTCGGGCAAACAAAGAATCTGGCGATTAGAAACTCAGTGTCTACCAACGACCAGCTGTTTGTGGATTTACCAATCCTTACTCAAGCTGATTGCCAAAAATCATGGGCTAAAGTAACATATCCAAATCAGCTCTGTGCTGGAGGGGAGCAAGGAAAGGATTCTTGTAAGGGTGATTCAGGGGGTCCACTTGTAATCAATAGATTTGATAAGAGAAGAAAGATACTGCTGGATGATACTGACAACAGCAATTGGATTCTGATTGGTATAACTAGCTTTGGATCCAGTGATTGCGGTAACGGGTTCCCTGGGGTATACACAAGAGTTTCAGAGTACATAGATTGGATTAAACAAAAGATTGGAAATTGATTCAAATACATTACATACATATAGTATACAATTAATTATGTAAAAAACAAGTAAGTCAATAGAAGAGAAAAATTAAGCAATAACCAAATAGAAGTTTAACCGGCTTCGCTCAACTTTTAAAGGTCAAGCACAGCAATAGTATTTCTCTAAGTAACAATTTATAGATTTGTTTTAAATGAACCCTGTTAAGAAAACCATGTACGGATTTGGAACATGTCTATGCATGCAGTACAGTGTACACTTACAGCGCTTACAACTAGAGATTTTGGTATATTACAGCAAAGTTTTTTTTTCCTTCCTTTCACGTAAGCAGGCAATAATTGATTTTTAAATTAACAATCTATGCACAAATTTCAACTTTTATTTTTCCTCTAGTATTGCTGTTGTTTGCTTTTAACATGTACAAGGATTTAAAAGTCAAAAGGCATGTACTGGAAAGTTTCTGGAGTAATTTTAAAACCCTCCAAAAAAAAAATTATATATTTGTTTACCTCGTAATCTCCTGCACTTTTGATTCAGTTATGCTTATTCTTTCCAGTAGGGGGTTTAACACAGTATCTGTAATTAAACAGTTTGTGTTCATGTTTTCCTTCAAAATGTAGAATCATGGATTTGCGGATTTTTTGGGGCATTTAAAAACATGTTTAAACTAGCTTTGTTTTTTTTTGCCTGATTCACAACCGTACCCAGAAACCTTTATCTTATTGATAATGAGCAAGCTATTGTCGTTTTTCTAGGTTTAAGTTTATTTTTTCCTGATAATTTCTATAAGTTTTTCTGCATTAGAAAGTGCGAGTCGCTTTTGTGGAAGAAACCAGAATTGGAAATAATCAGTTTTTAAAATTAAAACATGGATATCTAATTCATACTTTATCAGACAAAGCCTTCATGTTCACTGTTCGTAAAAAAGTCCCAGTGTTGAACTAGTCAAAAACTTGGAACACTGTTTACTCAATGTCAGTAAATTGTGAATTTTTTTATAAATGGAAGTTTTATTTTCAAGTATTTGTAGTGAGTATAGAGTTTGTCTGATTAATGATGATTGATTGATGAATAAATGTTGATTATGTATGAGTGTGTCAATTTAGATGTATGTATAGAAGTGGTAAAACGGTGAAGTATAAAATTGGTAAAAAAAGTCGAGAAAAATTCTACTTAAAAGTCGAGAAAAAATCGTCTTTAAAGTCGGAAAAGTCGACTTAAACTCGAATAAAAAAGTTGACATAACTTGACTTTAAAAGTTGACTTTAACTCAACTTAGAAAGTCGACTTAAAAAAAACCGTCCAAAAGTCAGCTTCTGAAAGGACGGTGTACGAGTTAAAGTCAAAAATTAAAAAGTCAACTTTTTCTCGACTTTAAAAGTTGAGTTTTTGTTGAGTGGAAAAATCTCGTCCATTTTAGTGGCATAAAAACTCTTTCAAACGTGGTATAAAAACTCTTCCATAAAAGGTATACAATCTCAGCCGAAAGTCGAGTTCTGGTACGACTATTTACGAGTTAAACTCGACTTTAAAAGTCGAGTTTCAGTCGAGTTTTGTTCGTTTTGACTGAGATTTGTTATCCATGCAGAAGAATGAAGAATCATGCGTGATAACACTCTGAAGGGAAGGGGGGTGGGGAGGGGGGAATAAGAAACATTCTCATCAAGATATAGATAATAATTGTGTTTAAACTATTCACATAATCTGAAGGGGGGTAGGGTGGGGAGGGGGGAATAAGAAAAACATGGGATTTAGAGGGGGGGGGGGTCAAATTGACTCCACCCCCAGCATATCCTGGTTTTCAAGTACCCCAGCAGAGATAGGGTTAATGGGTAAAAAAAAGAGATGGAAACGTTTCTTAAAAATATTTATATTTTAATAGAAACGATACATATTGTATAATTACAAATAATGATATCAAAGATATTTTTACACTGAAGGCAGTATTTATTATAGCTTTTTTAATGACAATTTTTTGTTATGGGTAAAAGGGAGATTTTACAGTATTTTTATATGGGTGCCCTCCCCTCAGGGGGGAGCAAGCGTAGGAGGGGGTCGGCCCCCCCCCCTAGTACGCCCCTGGCTGTAACTCTTTCCAAATTTCAATGTGTGCTGTGAGCAATTAAGCGCTAAATCTAAATTTTTAGTTCAAAATCTTTAAAACTTTATATAGGATATAAAGATTGAAAAAGCCTTATATAGCTTCAAACTGTTATTTTTCTTAAGCCATCATATTAATGAAATTTGTAAACAAAATTGGACACCGAAGGGCTTTTTTCACTGTTAGATCAAATAATTCGAGTTTAAAATCTACAATCAGTCTGTAAAGATATAATAGAGATTATAACGTTTTAGATTGCGGCGAGAAAAAACATAGTTTTCCTCCAGATATTATTTGATGATTTTTGTTATAGTACTCCGCCATATAACATATAACAGGCTCTAAATTTGACATAACATTTGTAGGTGTTGAGCAAAAAATGCATTTTTAATGGAAACAACAATTAAAGATTTAAGGCGAAGAATTGGAAAAAACTCGGAAATAAGATAACTAATACAGATGTTGAGATGTATTAGACCAGCTCAAATGAAACCTTTATATACAGTAATAACCAGAAAACTGTAGAATAGGAAGACGACATTATAGCAATACTGAAGTGCATTTGATGTTGTTACTAAGCTCACTAATAAGTTATTAATTCACTTGTTAAGTAAAATGGTTCTGTTTACACTGCACAATTTCTCTGCTCATGTTAACTAAACTTATTAAATTAAATTTTTTTTACTGTATCTAGCTGAAAAAAGAGGTTTTTTACATTTACCAATAAGGTTTAATGTATAAACTAAATTAAATGTTGTCAGTTTGGCTAATAAAAACTATATGATCGCCTGAGGCTACTTGAACTGAAATTTGCGATTTTTTTTTTCTGCAAATTTCTGAACAAAGACAGTAAAAAGGGTAACAGAGCCCTTTTTCAATTTTCGGTTGTAAAGTACCCTTTTTAAAAGGTCGGATAAATGTTCACATTTTACTCCAAAACCATGGGAGCAACTCCAAAACCCCGAGGAGCAGCCATCCCTCCCTCTCTGATCAAGTATAAATGAGATATCCATGTGTTTAACTCTTTTAAACTGTTTATTTTCTTTGCGTTTTCTATGCAGAAGTAAGTTGCTCATTTCTTGCTTGTATGAAAAAATACAGAACTTTTTAGAATTAATCATTTTTTTAAGTCAGGCAACAGACGTTCCATTTACTGAAAGCGCCGATATAAGGATTCATCTCTAATTAGATAATGAGCTAGATAGAAAGATAAATGTTACCGCCATGCAATTTCTATTGGTTCAGAATAGACACCAAACACATGACTGAACCCTGATTGGATCAGGCGGCTGCGCTAATGGACTCGGCATACTAGAGTGATATATCTTCCACATTTTAATCAGATTAAGGTTTCTAGGGTACCATTGCTAGTCGGGCATTGCCATCTATGTATGGAGAGTCATTTTAAATTACGCTTACAGTCCCTTTATTGACTGCATTGCAATAATATAATAATATTTGCGAATTAAAAAGGACGGTGGGACCTAGTAAACTGTGTAGTAGGAAGACGACAGTTAGACTCAAGCTCTGATTTTAAATAGTCCATTGAAATGAAACACAGCAATTGTGTATAGTGGATGCAAACTCAATTCACTTAAAGGGAGTGTTTGCAAAAAATAAAAAGGGGTAAAGGCGAAAAATAATCGCTTTTGATGTCTACTTATCTTACTTTTATCTGTTGCGTCTATAAGGAGAAAATTGTTTAAAAAATACTTATATCGAAGAACGTAGCGTCCATACAGAAAGTTGTAATATACGACTCACATCGTAAAATAATAAAATTGATTTTAAACAAATCATTCAGATATCACAACCTAAAGTCATCGATTATTTTTCGAAGCATTTTTATATAGTTAATATTTCATACTATTTGTTATTTGTTTTATATACAATGCACTTAAAACGATTTTTTTCCGCTTGGTGTCTCTGCCACGTGTAATCATTCAAAGCATCGAGAGCTGAGATATCTGGCGGTCAACTATTTCGGCATTTTAAGTGAATTGCATAAAAAACGAATACAAATTATTAAATATATAATTGTAGACATAACAGATAGAAGTAAGATTAGTAGCTATCAAAAGTGCTTATTTTTCATCTTAAGCCTATACCCCCTTTCATTTTTTGCTGTACTGTTTAAATCACTTAAAAGTCATTTTCCCATTCCACAGTTGTATGGACCCCCCTGTATATACCTAGAGCTCCCACCGAAGATATGTTCTCTGTTACCAACAGTTTTGTTTTTACCTGAAAAAAGTTTTCTTTACTTTTAATAAAAATGCAACTCAACAGAGCTCATAGCATTATAGTAACATCTGTATACAGGGTGTCCCACGAAACATCTGTATACAGGGTGTCCCACGAAACATCTGTATACAGGGTGTCCCACGAAACATCTGTATACAGGGTGTCTCACGAAACATCTGTATACAGGGTGTCCAACGAAACATCTGTATGCAGGGTGTCCCACGAAACATCTGTATACAGGGTGTCCCAAGAAACATGACAATATAGAGAAACCGTTTGAATATAGTCTTTGATCTAAGGAATAAAATGTGGAATTCATTTATCAATCTACTTTTACAATTTGCATGTATGATTCTTGAAACATTAATCACAAAATGCCCTGGTCCATGCAGGCATTTCCAAAATGTAGTCTGCCTTTATTGTACTTTTAATATTACCAGAGATATTAAGAATTTTGATTAAATTTCAATTTATTAAATATAAAATTAAAATTGTCAAATTGAAAGCACAAAAAAAGGCAGACTACATTTTGGAAATGCCAGGACTTAAGGGACGATTTTGAGTTTATAAATTCGATGATTTTGCTTCTAAATTATTTGGAAAAATGAATGCCAAGTCGTCTCTCTACTGTCATGTTTCGTGGGACACCCTGTATATACATGTGGTTTGTCTGTATCCAATAAACGTAGAAACGGCTGAATTGATCGAGCCAATTTTTGGAAACTCTCATGACCCCAGGAAAAATTTACGGACTGTTAAAAGACAAAATTTTGCCTGAAAATTTTGGAAGTTTTATAAATCAATCAAAGTTTACAGAAATATCAGAAAAGTTTTGAGTTTTACAATCAGCTGATCGATCTCTAGACAGAGTTCACGCTGTACAGGAGTGTACTTACCAGTCTAATCAGCTGATCGATCTCTAGACAGAGTTCACACTGTACAGCAATGTACTTACCAGTCTAATCAGCTGATCGATCTCTAGACAGAGTTCACGCTGAGCAGAATACTTACCAGTCTAATCAGCTGATCGATCTCTAGACAGAGTTTACGCTGTACAGAAATGTACTTACCAGTCTAATCAGCTGATCGATCTCTAGACAGAGTTTACGCTGTACAGAAGTGTACTTACCAGTCTAGTCAGCTGATCGATCTCTAGACAGAGTTTACGCTGTACAGAAGTGTACTTACCAGTCTAATCAGCTGATCGATCTCTAGACAGAGTTCACGCTGTACAGCAGTCTACTTACCAGTCTAATCAGCTGATCGATCTCTATACAGAGTTAACGCTGTACAGCAGTGTACTTACCAGTCTAATCAGCTGATCGATCTCTAGACAGAGTTCACGCTGTACAGCAGTGTACTCGCAAAACCCAAGATTATCTTAAAAAACAGAAAAGTATTAATTTAAATAGCAATATTTTTATTTTTCAATTTATTAAGAATATTGAGCTAGTTTTAGTAAAATTATTAATTAAGATCAAAATGAAGATGATTATAAGATATTTAATCAAAATGAAAATCATGGTTTTAAACATTTTTTTTCTCTTAAACGTTGATGATTTTCAGAATTGAACTTGCTGGTTTTCCAAAACATTATTGTGCATTTCTATTAATTAAGTTTAATTTTTATCCAATAATCTTAAAGTCGTGAGTTTCAATTTTTTATCGATCATTTCGTTTTAAATAAACAATATATTTTTAAAGGAACTACTCGTTTTGAACTTTTAAAAACTGAAAAACGATCGTTTTGTAAACTTTAGTTTTCTTAAAAAATTGTTGTTTGTAAAAACGATCTTTTAAAAAAATTTCGATAATGAATCAGAAGAGTTTTATAACAATTAATGTCAATTTTTTTCAGGAAGATGAGCTTATGAATATTAAATGGTTTTTTTATCGAGAGAAATATTCTAAGAATTTTCCGACCAAAAATTTATTTAGTTTTTTTAAAGGTTATTAATGATCGTTAACGAAGGGTCGTCGTTAACGGTCTTTAAGAATTAAAAATTACCTACTTTTGTGAACGAAACGACAAACTTAAGAAACGATCTTTCAAAAACGACCGTTTCGTTTTTAGTATTTTCTTTGTCGTTTTTAAAACGAAACGATCGTTTAAAAAAAGTGAAAACTATCCATCCTTACCTGTAAACAGTGTCTTGTATTCAGCATACAATGTTTCAGCAGCTAGAATAAGTTGACTCTGAAGTTTAGCAAGCAACTCTACAAAATAAAAAGTTCACGTTGAATCTTTGATAATTTGTCTGTTTGAATTTATTAATTAGCTGATTTATTAAAAAATTTATTTTTGTATTTATAAATAGGTTCAGCTGACCTGTAAATTTTTTCATTTTATTTATAAATATTTATTTATATATGTCCTCCTCTTATTTATTTTTATAAGAATTGACTATTTGATTTCTATGGTTTATGGTTCTATGGTTGTAAATTAACATAGAAATAGAAGTTGTAAATTAACATAGAAATAGAAATTGTAAATTAACATAGAAATAGAAGTTGTAAATTGACATAGAAATAGAAGTTGTAAATTAACATAAAAATAGAAGTTGTAAATTAACATAGAAATAGAAGTTGTAAATTAACATAGAAATAGAAGTTGTAAATTAACATAGAAATAGAAGTTGTAAATTAACAGCTTTTCTTTGTTTACTTGTAAAATTGCAATTTGTAAAATGCTTCTTAGAATGAAATTTAAATAAAAAAATTCTCGGCAATCTGATTAGGTCTTTGCATGGACTCTGCAATCGACACTAAAGTTTTTAGCTCTGATTAATTTATTTTGTAGATTAATCACCTAGATCGGGCTGAAACTGTTGGTTTGTTTTTAGAGTACGTACTTCCTTAAAAACAGCTTCTAAAAATAAGATTTTTTAAAAATATTTTTTTTATTTTTTCCTAATTGAAAACTTTTGATAATATGATGCTTTGTCAGCTTAAGATTAGATTTTTTTTTTGCAAAATCTTTTTTAAAAATTAAGTTTGCTCATATTATACATTTTATACAGATTTGAAAATAATGATTGCACTTTACTAATTTTACAAAAAAAATATCTTTTAAATTCAGTTCAGAAAATTGTTAGAAAGTTGGGGGAATTTTAAATTTAAAAACAGGTTTATGAGTTTAAAAGCCTAATACCCCTTTTCATTTTTACCCATAAAGATCAAAAATTGTTAATAAATTCATCATTTATAATTGTTTAAAGCAAAATTCTATTAAACAATATAAAAGTTTACAATTTAATACTAATAATCTTTTCTTTGGATATCGCATTTTTATGATTGACAGGGTTTGCCAAAAAACAGGTTCAATACAGTAATTTTAGCACGAATATAGTTTAATTCATTTGCATTCATTAGTATGTATTTTCAGATTTTTACAGATTTTTACATCAATATATTTTTACAGATTTTATATAAAATATATATTTGCATAATTTTACCTAAATATATACTTGCAAATTTGTACATTAATATATATTTACAGATTATTACTTAAATATATTTTTACAGATTTTTACATCAATATATTTTTACAGATTTTAAATAAAATATATATTTGCACAATTTTTTCCTAAATATATACTTGCAAATTTGTACATTAATATACATTTACAGATTATTACTTACATATATTTTTACAGATTTTTTCATCAATATATTTTTACAGATTTTAAATAAAATATACATTTGCACAATTTTACTTAAATATTTACTTGCAAATTTGTACATTAATATATATTTACAGATTATTACTTACATATATTTTTACAGATTTTTACATCAATATATTTTTACAGATTTTAAATAAAATATATATTTGCACAATTTTTTCCTAAATATATACTTGCAAATTTGTACATTAATATATATTTACAGATTATTACTTACATATATTTTTACAGATTTTTACATCAATATATTTTTACAGATTTTATATAAAATATATATTTGCATAATTTTACCTAAATATATACTTGCAAATTTGTACATTAATATATATTTACAGATTATTACTTAAATATATTTTTACAGATTTTAAAATTAAATATATATTTGCAGAATTTTACCTAAATATTTATTTGCAGATTTTTCTTCAGATTCCAGATTCAGTTTCCAGTCATTAAGTTCCTGAACAAAAACGCTAATATTTGTTTTGCCACAGATTGCACGTTTATTGCGCTTCCTTCAATAAGAAAAATTCCGCTCACGATTAGGGTTGTTAATTGTTATAGAAACGATCGAAAAACTGTCGTTTTTCTTTTCGTTTTAATTTTTTCAAAAACGATGGTTTTGTTTTTAGAAAAAAAACTAACTATCGATATTTTTAACGAACCACTCGTTTTGAAAATTCAAAATACAAAAAAACTATCGTTTTTTAAAAATGTTTTAAAACAATTGTTTATAAAAAATTCACAATTTTTTTTCAGGTTATGAATGTTTACTGTAATGTTTTTTTATCAAGAAATGACCTGAATGTTTTCTAATTTCCGACCAAAAAATGCATTTTCTCTTAAAAAGGTTGTTTAAAACAAATCTTACAATGATCTTTTAACTAGACATTACAAATAAAACACCAATCATGTACAGTTGTACAATTCTATAGGGATGTTGTTTGTTCTTAAAGTTTTCATTTCAGTGGTTTTCTCACTGAACGATTGTTCAGTAAAATCGTTCATTAAGTTAAAAAACTATCGTTTTATAAAAAGTTTTTTTTTTTAAATCGTTTGTTTTGATCGTTTTTATCTAAAGGTAGTTTAAAAATTCGTTCTTTTATTGTTTGTTGATAACAAAATTTCGTTTTTTGAATTCTCTGAATGATCCAAGTTGTTCGTCCATCCTTTGTCACGAAAATTTCATTCATTCTCAAAATTCGTGTTCATGTACAAAACGATGCCAATCTCTGATTGTACTGTACTGGTGCTGTTTTGTACCTGTAAGGCTGCTTTGGCTGCTTGTACATGTCTGGGTGTTCCCTGCTTTCTTGTAGATTCCTGATAACTTGTACACATTGTTTCAATCTGGGATATATGTCCTGGGACATTATACAATATCTATCTATTCATTAAATTTTATTTAACGGTGGGATTAACTACGACTCCCCTGGGTTCTCAAGCTGGTTTATAGAAAAAGAAAGATATTGAATATTCCTAAAAGTTTAGAAAATAGATTGAGAACAGTTTCATACTCCTCAAGCTTCATCTGATTAAAATAAATAAAATAAGAATAACATAAAATATGATTATGAAAAGAATGAATGAACAACGCTAACCTAAAAATACTTATGAAGATCGAGAATGATTGAAATGTCCATGTTTTTAACTTTATAAATTGACATTTTTCAAGTGTGGGTTCTCTGAAAAAGTCACTTTTCGAGTTGCGCATTTCTTCTCAAGACACTATGAACGAAAATTCTCAGAATTAAATACTTTCTGAAATGAAGGGTCAGTTTAAATTACGTGGATAGTCCCTTGAAATGGTGTAAAATTAAGATATTCATGCAATTGTAGATGTAGATGAAAATCCCCGAAAAGGTTTTATAAAATCCGTAAATAAGTAGTCTTGAATTCTGGAACCAAACAGAAGAACTACTTAATTTCCTTTCATAGATCTGTTATTTATTATGTATTTCTATCTAGAAACAATTAATTGCAGATTAATACCAGTACTGATTGAACGTTAAATGTCGCCTTGTCACGAATTAGGGGGTTTTTCGTTCAAGATAACCCTGACGCAGAAGCCAAAAAGAGGAAAAGAGAGAGAGAGAAAGCATCACATAACTCCTTTGGGCTTCTGTCTCAAGGTTATTGTGAACGAAAAACCCCTAAATCTTAACAAGACGATATCTAGTGTTCTTTCTGTATTGTTAATTAATCTACAGTCATAACCAAAAAACTCCGAAATAGGAAGACGACATGGAAGTGTATTTGATGTTGTTATAAAGCAAATAATTTTACTAGACACTTATTAAATCGCAAATTAAGTGAAATGGGTCTGTTTACACTGAATAATTTTTGTTCCTTGTACTCATTGGACTATCTAACGTCATAATTTAAATTTAAAAGTCGTCTTCCTATTCCAGAGTTTTCTGGTAATCACTGTGCGTATGAGAGTTAAAAGCTAAAACATATTACCTGAACCTGAGTGTGAGAATGACCAAGCTCCTGGTGGAGTTTCTGACCATCACTTTGCTTATCTGAACTTGAGGAATCTAATCCACCCAGAAACTCTTCAATCTAAAACGCAATTAGGATTTTCGCTACAAGCACATGTATATAATTATAATATATATTTGTGAAAACTTTCTCAAACAAACAGCGTGATTGCCTAAAATTTAAAAAAGCCGTTTGCAAATTTAAGCTTTCAGGATAGCCTATAGGGAAATAAAAACAATTACAATCAAGGGGCACGGGAAGCCGTAGTAGATTTGAATTTCCGAGCCGTGTCAACCTTTCCGGTCCCAGTTTGTACTGTACCTAGCTCTATAGACATGACTAGCCGGTGCAACAAGGTTGACTCGGTCACTTTATGCTTCATATAGGTTGAATTTACTTTTACTAAAGGGGCAGATTTGCGTGGGGGGAACAGAAATGTTTTTAGTAATTGTCTTTTATGTTAGCCTTTAAAAAAAGTCCTCTTCTAACTTTCTTTGAAAATGTTTTTTTCTCCCATTCCTTAGATAATGTTGTCCGAGCGTCCTTAGATTTGTCTCTGACTCTCAAAAAAAATCTTTTTAATGGAAAATTGAGCCTTGGGCGTGTACCTGGTTGGACAATGCCTGGATTCGTTCAGGCAGTACTCTAGCTCTGACAAGCTTTAGCCTTCTCTCCTCCAAACCGACCTTAAAAAACACGATTTAGACTTGTTTCTACAGGCTAGGGGGAGGGGGCGTCAAACACCTCCCCCTCAACTTTAATACTTTGATAGCATCTCATTCAACTTTAATACTTTGATAGCATCTCATTCAACTTTAATACTTTGATAGAATCTCATAAAACTCTGATAGAATCATATGAAACTTTCGTAGGATCTGAAAAAACTTTGACAAACACGTAGAAAACTTTGATAAAATCGTAGGAAACTTTGATAGAATGTCATAAAACTTTGATAAAATCGTAGAAAACTTTGATAGAATCTGATAGAACTCTGATAGAATCTGATAGAACTCTGATAGAATCTGATAGAATTTGTACCTGAAGCAGAGAACTCTTTTGGAATTCCTGTTTAAAAATAGGATATATTTCAGCGTCCATTTCTCCCACTTTAGTCAAGCAAAATAATTACAATTAAGAAAATAATGTGTAAAAACTTGATTAAACCATTTTTTTGGCTTTATCAAAATATGCTAATTGTAATTTCTCATATATTTTAATTTTAATTTTGTGGAATTTTTCATTTTTTGGTTAAACCTGACTTTTGAACCCTGCATTTTTAATCATTATCCATGCATTTAAACTTGTATCCCCTGAATTTTAAATTATCATGAAATTTACAATTATTTTGCCTAGATTCAGAATACGCTCCACATCAGATCTGTTAAAATTAACATTCTGAACTGTTTAAATTTTTATAAGAATTTTAAAATCTTTTAAAAAAATGAGAAATCCATATTCTTGATCAAATTTTCAGAAAAAATAACTGCATTTTTTATTCCTAAGCCATTATCAAGTTTCAGTACTTTTTTATCTCAAAATAGAAAATAAAAAAATTACGAACTTTTGCGCTGATATGACATTTTTATTTTGAAAGTAGATAGGTTGCATTCGAAATGATTTAAAGTAATACTATTTTAATCTTTGTAAAAATTAATAAATGAAAATCTTTTAAAAAAATAAACTTTTGAAGATGATGAAATTGAATTTAAAATAACTTAATCGTTTGCACATAGAAACCTGGTACAAAGGTCAAAGAAAAAAGTGATTTTTACATGAAAATCAATAATTTTAGTAAAAATTTTATGCTTATCCCAAAAATCGGAACAAACTTTTTAAAAAGAAAATTATCACTCTTGCATTCTAAACTATAAGCTCTCGGTACGTATTGCAGTGATCAGCAGTATGTTGACCAAAGAAATAATGGTGTTCAGCAAAGAGTGCTTAATCTCTTCTTTAAACCTTACGCAAAGATTAATAACAACACAGATGTCGTCTTTTCAAGATTTAGGGGTTTTGAAACTCTTGAAAAGACGATATCTAGTGTTCTATCTGTATTGTTATTAATCTATGGTCTAAATCTTGAAAAGACGATATTTAGTGTTCTATCTGTATTGTTATTAATCTATGGTCTAAATCTTGAAAAGACGATATCAAGTGTTCTATCTGTATTGTTATTAATCTATGGTNCCATATTCATCCATATTCATCCATATTCATCCATATTCATCCATATTCATCCATATTCATCCATATTCATCCATATTCATCCATATTCATCCATATTCATCCATATTCATTCATAATCATCCATATTCATCCATAATCATCCATACTCATCAGTATTCATCCATATTCATCCATATCCATCCATATTCATCCATATTCATAAATGGATAAATATAGATGAATATGTCATCCATATTTATCCATTTTTTATCCAAAAGCATATTCATCCCTATTCATCCATTTGTATCCAAAAGCATCCATATTAACTTACCTTTAGTTATAAAGTTAATTTGCTCTTCAGTTCTTTTCAAAGCTTCCTGTAAGTTATCTGAACAGAATTTTTAAAAATTAAAGGGACTGTAAACATCATTTCAAGTATGAATTAGAAATCAATCTTAAAAACAGAGTCCGAATTTAATGAATTTAAGCCTCGTCTCAAGTCCCCAAAAACCGGTTTCAATTGAGCGCCAGCTTAAGTCTTGAAAAATTGAATACAATTTTAAGTGGAACCAACCATATTTGAGCTGCGGCTCAAATTTTTAAAGTTCGGCCTCTGATTATTTTAAATTATTGCTTCTCAAAAGTGAGTTGCGTATAACTTCTGCAGGAAAACATATATAGAAATTTAGTTTTTACGACCAGTATTAAAATCGTTATAAAAAGGATGCCATATAATTAACGTATTTTTGTCTTAATTTAGGTTGTGTCTGGCATACGATTTAATACGAATTAAAGAGATTAAGTTACTTTGATTAACAGTTTTCTCTGTTGGTGTACAGCCCTAGATCTGTACAGTGTACAGTGTACACACCTGACTGTTTAGAGGATTTGCATATTTTCTGGTCCTGTATTCCTTGCTTTAATCCAGCTGCTAGTGCCAATATTTGTTTATACAGTTCATCAATTAGTTTTCTAAATAAAGGCAGGTTACAATCAATCAATCAATAAATTAATCATTTAATGTGCCAAACATTTTCGGTGACGAATGAATAAATCAATATATAATTGAATAAATAAATAAATAAGTCATTACATCAATAAATCAAAAAATCAATAAATAAAAAAATCAATAAATAAAAAAAATCAATAAATCAATAAATCAATAAATCAATAAATCAAAAAATTAATAAATTAATAAATCAATAAATCAATTAATCAATAAATCAAAAAACAATAAATTAATAAATCAATAAATCAATTAATCAAAAAATAAAAAAACAATAAATCAATAAATCAATAAATCAATAAAACAATAAATAAAAAAATTAATAAATCAATAAATCAATAAATTAATTAATCAAAAAATAAAAAAACAATAAATCAATAAATCAATAAATCAATTAATCAAAAAATAAAAAAACAATAAATCAATAAATCAATAAATCAATAAAACAATAAATCAATAAAACAATAAATCAATAAATCAATAAATCAATAGATCATTAAATCTATAATTTGTATCTTCACTAAATTTGCTCATCGATCAACAAATCAGTCTGTTTCTAAACAATCAATCAATCAATTAACTAATCAAACAACAAATTAGTCAACCAACCAAGATATCTATTCATGAAACAATCTTATTTCTAATCAATCAATTGACAATTTAATCAATCAATTGAGGATAAAATCAACCAACCAATAAAATCAAGAGAACTATGTACATTAATTAAACCTTGATTGTTCACAATCCAAGTTTGATCCAGGAGAGCCGTCATTATTCAACAGTTTGAGGTCGAAGGTCTAAACAAAAACACAGAAATCAAGTAGGTGGTGCGAGAGTGAGATATTTAGACAAATTAGACATGATACTACTATTTCAGGGGAAGAAAGTTCTAAAACGTGATTTGACAAAAACCTGACGCTGAGTGTCAGGTTTGGGCCAAATGTGCAAAGCTATCTTTTTTAATTATTTATATTTTTAAATTTAAAATGAGGAGGATAAAACCGTCTGCATACTTTGATTTAGAATAGTTAAGGCTACATTTGTATAACAAAAATTTTGATATTAAACCCCTGCAAATAAATAAATTTCAATATTTGATAATTATTGATGTCATTTTTGAGCATGTCTTATTTTTGAGACAAATACAAACTTTAGGCGCAAAGCAAGTTTCGTCGCGATTTTGAGACATTTAACAGATTTGAATCAATGATTCTTTTTAAAAGCATATACATAATTTGGTAAAAAAACAAGCTTTTCGAAAACAGTAAAAATTAAATGATAAACCAATAAAAATGTAAAAATATTTTTTCCTCTGACATTTTAAAATACAACAACTTAAAACATTGAAAAATTCTAATATTAATACTATATTGTTCTTACAATTAAATCGAAGAGAGAAATGCGGGAAATTTTTTTATTAAAAATTAAGAAAACTTTTAATGTTATGAAATATAAAAACTTTATAGTTAAATAAGGGAATGTTTCTTACCGCATTTTTGTGATAAACTGTATTTTATCTATCTTATGGCCAGAGACCGGATTTAAAGAATTTAAGCCGTGGCTTTAATTTAAGCCGAGGCTTAGTTATGGTGGGTTCCACTTGAAATTGTATTCAATTTTTCAAGATTTAAGCCGGCGCTCAATTGAAACCGGTTTTTGAGGGATTTGAGGATAAATTCTTTATCTGGAGATTAATAGCTTAAAAGTTCTGTGTCTGAATTTAATGATTTTAAGCCGCGTCTCAAATCCCCCAAAACCCGGTTTTAATTAAGCGCCGGCTTAGATCTTGAAAAATTTAATACAATTTTAAGTGGAACCAACCATATTTGAGCCGCGGCTTAAATTTAAGCCGCAGCTCAAACTCTTTAAATTCGGCCTATGATTTAGTCGATTTAGGACTTAATTACATTCACGCCAACACCTAACTTTATTTCCAAAGAACAAAATATTATAATCATGCATGGTCCAAATTCTTTAACTGATCCTATTTATTTTATGTGTCCAGTTCCTTTCATCATTATTGAAATCAAACCTATATATCCTAAAGTCTATTTGTCCAATAGGAATTCCGTTGTGCGGAATTGCGCCCGGTGGTGCGGAACTGCGCACAACTGTTCTGGTATTGCGCGGAATAGTGCAGAATTGCATGGAATTGTGGAAACCCTAATTTGTACCTGAATCTCCTGTTGTAGGTGTTCTGAGGTCTGGATAAAGGACCTCAAAGCCTTTCCAGTCAGTTTAAGGTTTTCAACACAATCTCTTTGTTCAATTAGTTGAACCCTTATCCTGAAGATAAAAAGAATCATATTTTCTATTTTTAACCCTATCCCCGCTGGGGTACTTGAAAACCAGGATACGCTGGGGGGGGTCAATTTGACCCCCCCCTCTAAATCCCATGTTTTATGTCCAAATATGACAAATGATACATCAGTAGAAAGCTCTTGTGCTCTACTTTTAGAATCTGCAAAAAAATTTGCAAATTTGCGAAAATTGAATTTTTTATTGCAAAATCCAGTTTTATAGTAAAAATGTTTGCAAAAAAAAAATTGTCCAAAAAATGACAAATTATACATTTTTGAAAAGCCCTTGACCATGCCATTTCAAATATGCAAAAATTTTTGCAAAATTTTAAATAACCTGATTTTTAATCAAGAAAAACTAAAAATGTGCAAATTTCCTTTGACAGGTTGTTTGCAAAAAATTTGCAATTTTTTTTTCGCAAAACTTGTGCAATCCGTTTCCTTATGTCATAGGCTTTCCAAAAAGCTAAATTTTATCAAAATCTGACAAGTGAAAGTGGGTCAAAACAAAGATTTAGTTTGCTACAGGCAAAAGCAGTCATTCAGGCAGTGTGCCTGAGGACTCAGGCAGTTAGTATTAAAGCCCGGTTTTAGGCCTAAAAGTCAGAAAATTTCAACAGCCTCAGACCAATACTTTTTGAGTTATGTAAAAAAAACTACAGGGGGGGGTCAAATTGACCCCCCCCCCCAGCGGGAATAGGGTTAACAGAAATCCATAAGTCACTTTTTATGCAGAGGGAAACCACAATTGAGAATAATTAGTAATTACACAAAGTTTAAAACATGGGTATCTCATTTAAAACTCTTTTTTCAGGAATGGTACTGTTATGTATGGGACAGACAATCTATAAATGGAGGCTATAAACTTTAAATTATGTCTACAGATTGTCTCAGTTGAAGATTACCGAGCAACTTCTTGGCTGTTACACTGTCAGATGAGATTGTATACTTTCTAACAAGTGTTATGCGGAGCAGAGTAGTGTTAAACCTTCTCGATTCTGAATCTGATTTGAAAGGCTCTGGTTCTACTCAAGATTGCACTACAGTGATACCATTAATAACGAATACATTGGAAGAATTTATCAAATGTCGTCTTTACAATATTTCAATGATTTTTATACTATATTACGTAAATTTTAGTATTTGCGAAAATAAATAAATAGCCATAAATATGCGGGAACAGTTTTAAAGAGCTTCATATAATCATTTAATTAAAAAACTAAATATCTGCAACATTCCATTATCAGGAAGTGAAGAATACGTCATTTGATAAATTCTTTCGATGTATTCGTTGTTAAGGGTTTTACTGTAGTTAAACTGCAAACACACGCATCCTACTTAGTTAATACTACAATTATGTCAATTAAGTTTATTTAAAACATAGTAGATTTGTACATTATAAATCATATAATCATCCCCGGCCTTAATAGTGATATGCAACTAAATTCTTACCTCTGTATTTTTTGAAGATATTTTTGTTTCTGTTCTTCTTGTAGAGATGGTAGAGCAGAGCACTCCTCTCTCAACCCATCTATATTAAATTATACAGTAATTACAATTGTTTAACTTAAAAGTAAGGTAATTTTAAAAAACAAGCTGATATTCATCTCATGGTGATGGACCAAACCTCTGTAGAGTAAAAATAAAGTAGATGTTAGTTCCACATTTATTGAAAATATATTTCGGGTTGGGTTGACCCTCGTCAGTTCTAACGATATAATAACCATTAAAACCTATTGCGGCTGGGGGTTGGTCGCCCCTCACTTTAGGCTCAAAGCAGGGCTTCTATACCCTCTGCCTGAGTCCTCAGGCATACTGCCTGAATGCCTTATTTTACCTTCACCGAATTAGATCTATATTTAGACCTATTGGATATTGACTTTTTATAGCTCTTTGGAAAGCCTTGAACAAGAGGAAGCAGATTGCACAATTTTTGCGAAATTTTGCATAGTATTTTGAACAGAGAATTTACACATTTTTAGTTTTCCTTGAAATAAATTTTGAATTTTAAATATTTTGCAAATTTTTTTGCATATTGGAATTCGCCGTGGTAAGGGCTTTTCAAAAATGTATAATTTATCATATTTCGCACACTTTTAGTTATAGCACATTTTTTGCTGAATAACTTGAAATTGCAATAAATATTTTTTCAGATTATTGAAGTAGTGCCAAAGGGCTTTCAAAAAGTGTATCAAATGTTATAAAAATTTTTCACAATAAGGAAATAGAGGGGGGGGTCCCTAGGACCTCCCCCCAGACAATTTTGTTAAACCAGACGTGAGCCTGAATAGGGTTAATGATAAACATTTTCTTAAAATATAGTCTGTCCATTAATTTTTATGCTTTGGCTTGATATAATATGTTTCGCTTTTGAATGGTAAAAGACATATCGGTTTGATAGGATTGCTGTAGAATTTAAAAAAATACAATATAAAGCATTAGTTTTTTGTTTGTAAAACTTTCATTTTGAAAAAATTAAAGATATATTTATAATTTTATACAAATGGATTTTTATAAAGATATCTATTTTGGAAAACAGGATGAATTAATAATTATATCTATATTTTTATTTTAGTGCAGTGACATCCAAAAAAAATCAAAAGAGAGTAATAGCAAAAAAAAACACTACCCGACTTTTCAAGATTAAAAAAACATAAAAATCAGTAAATGTTGTGATTACAAGGGACACTTTCACTGTGCAGGGTGTCCCACAAAACATGACAGTTGGTGACTTGTATAAAATGTCTTCTTTCATATATTGTTAAGTTGTTTAATAACAAAGAGAATAATAAATATCAAATGGCAGTCATATTATAGAAAAATCTATTTCAAAGTAAAATATATTTGAGTACAAGATTTGTTTAACGAATTAAACTGCAAAAAGTCTTTAATATCTAATACAGTGTATGGAAGACGACATTCAAAACTATTCACCAACTGCCACGTTTCGTGGGACACCCTGTATGTCCTGTTTACAACGAAACCCTAAAAATCTTTTTCTAAGCAAGAATTAATGACTGTTCCATGTTTAACTTAAATTGTTATTTTCTCTAAAGCAAAAGTGATTTGCGCATTTCTGATGCAGAACAAGGAAGGAAATAAAAGGTTACTTATAATTGCAATTATAGTTCTTTTATTGTATCACAATGTATCTAGGGATTACTAGTTCATTATATTATACTAGCTGAAGGGCACGGCGTTGCCCGTGGAAAAAAAATTGAAAAAAAATGTTTGAAAAAAAATATTTAAAAAAAAATTGTTTGTTTTAGCCAATAACACACCCTAAAATTTCAGCGCAATTTTCAATGAGTTTTTTACTTTTTTTAAAAAAAGCAATTAAAGTAGGAACAGTTTAAAAGAGCCCCATATGATTATTTTATTAAAAAACTAAATATCTTCAGCATTTCATTATCAATGTAGATTTAGAAAACAACCACGCAACTCTGACCCATTAGTAAAAGTAAATTCAACCTAAAGTCTGACCGCGTCAACCTTGTTGCACCGGCTAGTCCTATTGTCCGGGCATTACAGTACAAACTGGGACCAGAAAGGAATTGACCCGGCTCGAAATTCAAATGTACTAGGGCTGCCCGTGCAACATCTTATAAATGTCCCTGAAGCACTGGGTTAAATTGTACCGCCCAGATTAGGCAGATTTTCTGCAAGTACTTGATATCAAAATTTAAAAAATAATAAATAAACTTTTATTTTTTATTTGACTAACCTAGAAGAGCAATCTTCTTAGTAATCTCAGTGTGGAGAGTTTGTAGAGCTTCCTGAAAATACAATTGGTTACCATCAAAATGGCGCTCTACAACTTTTTCGCCAGTTTCGATTTTGCGAGCTTCATTTTGCTTTAGAGGGAGAAATGTCCTAGCTCCTATAGCAGCAGCTCTCGGCCCCTCCTGTAGTGCCCCCAAAAATTGTAGCCTATAACCCCTAATAAAGTTTTGTTGGATTTTTTTCATCGAAAGAGAATGTCGCAAAGCTAAATGAGACAAAAAGTTTGTAGTGCCCTAAAAACAAGCTCTTCTAAAATATAATACTAATTCTTTATTATGAATCAGTACTTTATTTTTATTATAATAATTTAATATAATATTATTTCATATTTATATATAAATTTAGCTTGTCTGTCCGTCTGTTTGTCCGTTTGTTTGTATCCAATAAACGTCAAGAACAATTTTGTGTGGGACCTCACGTGAGCCCAGGGAAGGTTTATGAATGATAAAAACTTTAAAAATTTGTGTTTATAAGTTTTTTCTTTTTGTAAAATTTTGAAAGTACGGGAAAAAATATTAAAAAATCCGCAAAATTGTTTTTGTTTTTGTTTTATACTGTACAAAGAGAAGATGCTCACAGATAAAGCCACAGTTAAAATTTGAAATAGAAGATGGGCGCGAATATTCTCGCATTTTTATCTTCAAAAATCAAAAGACGATAAAATTGTGTACAAATACTTTTTCGGGAAATTATAAATTTTTCTTAACCGGCCACTGGGTTTCGTCTACCAATTTTGTCTACAGAACATCCTTCGCTGCACTCTGGATGTATAGTAGGCTAATTGGTCTTTGGAATCCTTGGTAAATTAAAGTTTTTTTTTAAACTTCCCTATACAGTAGTAAATAATTATCATTATCATATTCTATGAAGAATAGATTCAATAAATACACTTATTGTGTAATTGGATTTTCATCATATTCATTAATTTAAAAATGCTAACATGACATGATATGAAAAAATAAATTGTATAGAAATAATTCGCCAAAAGGAAATGGATATAAGAAAGAGAAGGTATATGACGTATATGAGTTAAAATATTTTAAAAAGTTATGAAGAGAAATTTGTTTAGAGAAAAAATATTTAACATTAAAAGAGAATGAAATAAGACCTAAGGGGGGGGGATTCAGATTTAGATTTCAGCACAAGAGCTTTCCAATGATGTTTCATTTGTCATATTTGGACATCAAACAGCAGGGATAGGGTTAATTAATAATTATCATGTATGTCTCAAGTGTCTGTATATCTATGTTGGATGGAATATCTGGATTGATTAATTGATTAATTAAATAATTAATAATTACCATGTATGTCTCAAGTGTCTGTATATCTATGTTTGATGGAATATCTGGATTGATTAATTGATTAATTAATTAATTAATAATTACCATGTATGTCTCAAGTATCTGTATATCTATGTTGGATGGAATATCTGGATTGATTAATTGATTAATTAATTAATTAATAATTACCATGTATGTCTCAAGTGTCTGTATATCTATGTTGGATGGAATATCTGGATTGATTAATTGATTAATTAAATAATTAATTAATAATTACCATGTATGTCTCAAGTATCTGTATATCTATGTTGGATGGAAGATCAGGATTGATTAATTGATTAATTAAATAATTAATAATTACCATGTATGTCTCAAGTGTCTGTATATCTATGTTGGATGGAATATCTGGATTGATTAATTGATTTATCCAGGTCTCTATCTCCAGTAAGGAGAGTTCTATCAGGCGAACTCCACTAAAAAAGCTATATGAGTGGAAGTAATTTAATTTTAGAGGGTTATTGATGTCAATTGGAAGAGTTTCAGGGTTTCATTATATACATGATTTCCTGCAACTATAAACTTCTTTCTATCTTTGCTTAGTAAAAAATAAACCATTTCAAGGCTTAATTTTAGAATTGGGATTGTCATATTTGAAGATTTTTCAAGTCGTCTTTACAGTCTCATCCTTTGTGGGTAACTCTATCATTGTGAACTAGACAGACAGAGTAGGTGCAATTTTTGCGACATTACAGGTAGGACTTTGTAACCTTCTAGCTCCTCTCTGCCAAAAACAGACTTATCTTTTTACTTTTCAGAATTTCAACAAATTTTCAAAAGCTCTTTACAAGATGAGTTATAATTGAAAACAAATAAGATTTTATACTAACGCGCATTTTAATTTAGTTTGTACTGCTATATGAACTAAAACTAGATTGTGTACCTTGGGTTTAATTTAGTTTGTACTGCTGTACTGAAACTAGATTGTGTACCTTCGGTTTGTACTGCTGTATGTACTGAAACTAAATTGTGTACCTTGGGTTTGTACTGCTGTATGTACTGAAACTAGATTGTGTACCTTGGGTTTAATTTAGTTTGTACTGCTATATGTACTGAAACTAGATTGTGTACCTTGGGTTTGTACTGCTATATGTACTGAAACTATTGTGTACCTTGGGTTTGTACTGCTGTATGTACTGAAACTAGATTGTGTACCTTGGGTTTGTACTGCTATATGTACTGAAACTAGATTGTGTACCTTGGGTTTGTACTGCTATATGTACTGAAACTAGATTGTGTACCTTGAGTTTGTACTGCTATATGTACTAAAACTAGATTGTGTACCTTGGGTTTGCTTGCTGAAGGTCTTCAAGAAGTTTACCGGCAGCTACTAGAACACGGTTCCCAACCTCCTCTATATTGTCCATACTCATCCTAATTATTAACTCAGTTAAAGGGACTGTAAGCGTAAAGTGACCCTCCATTAGGGCTGGGCCTGTTCCTACTTTTTTTAAATAGTTCGTTACGTTCTGTTTCCATGTTCCTGTGACAGAACTATCGTTCCCCAGAAATGACGCCTAGTCCTATATATTGGACATCCATTGTTATAGATTAGAAAATCTTCCTCTCTGTGTGCGCATTTATGCTGCAGGAATCAATGAAGAAATATTATTAAACGCTGAAAAACCTAGACAACTGCAATATAAAACCTTTAAACCTGAAAAAACGACAATATCTTTCAAAATATTGATCAGAAAGGTTTCAATGGTAACATTGTGAATCGGGCATTGTCATCTTTGCATGAACGGTCACTTGAAATAATCCTTATAGTCCATTAATAATAATGCTAGTTCATAAAGGAAACCATATTTATTTCAAAAAATTACAATTTTTGCATAGGAATTGAGTCTTTGTCACAAACTCTGATTTTCAATTAACTATATCTCTGGAACCCGATGTCGTAGACATTACATATTTCAAACTATGAACCCTGCTAGATTAAATATTCAAAGTTTGAAATATCGAACGTTTACATTATCAGAATGCAAGGATATAGGAATACAAAAACTTGTGGCAAAGACTCAATTCCTTTGCAATACTTTTTGAAGATTCTAAAAGTAGAGCATAAGAGTGTTCCAATGATGTCTCATTTGTCATATTTTGACATAAAACATGGGGTTTAGAGGGGGTGGGATCAAATCACCCCCCCCC